GGGTCGGGGGGGGGGGGGGTGGAGGGAATTGTTCGCTTGCGGGTGTGATGGTCTCGAGAGGACCTGGCTAGTAGCTACTTGCAGAGCTCTGAAGAAGATGTTGAGATCAGCGATTCGGAAGGCGGGGCGCCGCGGTGCTGTATCGACCTGATTCCATCCCTAGCGAAAAGGATTTGCGGCCGTTGAGTTTGGAGGCGGTCGTCGGTTTCGGTGGAGGTGGAGGGGGAGTTGTGATGGTGAGGCTCTGCTGTTGGGTTTGTTTTGCTACCGGGAGGGAGTGTAAGAGCCGTGTTGGTGTTCAGGTTGTGCTAGGCAGTGAGGAATGAGACTTTGCGGTTCTGGAGTCGCTGAATGGGATGAATGAGCTTTGTTGGTAAAGGAGGGCTGCCTTGATTGAGTCTTGAGGCAACGGCGGCCTGGATCTTGACTGCTTCGCTTATTCGGCTCCTTATCTTCTCAGATGAATGTACGTACTTATAACGGCCCTGAGAAACCACGGCAGCAGATACTTAGATTAGGCCAATGTATTTCAAGGTAAGAGAGAGCGTGGTAAATGCAAGGCGTGCGCTGTCAGCTTGTCGCCGAATGACGCTGGGGTCCGTCGCAAAACCCGAAGTTGAAAATGTGCCGACACCCATGACCACGCTTGCGCCAATGTGTTGAGCTCCATGAAAAAGGAGAACGAGGTGAACGACGCATATCCTACAACTTTGCGGAGCTAATGGGAGTAGAAACCTCGTAAGAGACCTGGCAAAGGGCACCGAGGAAATTGAATTGACCCGCAAGGTAAGAACGATGACATGTGCAAGTTGAAGTTACACGAAGCTGTCAAACTGATAAAAGGAAAGACAACTCTTGGAGAAGTACAAGGCAGATCTTCATGAGGGGAACCGTCTGGGCGCCATCCAGAGCCACAAGAATTGGATTATTTCGGCAATCAAGCTCAGGCGGAGACTCGACTCTGTGCAGAATTCAGCAGAAACTGGCGTTCAACGCGACCCTGATACCAATGTCCTCGTCATCATCGAAATTCTCCGACGCGCTTGCCGAGATCGAGCGAAACTTCTGGGTCCTGAGGCTGACCAGCCATTGGAGGAGGAGATCTGCGCTCCGTCGTGTTCCAGAGAAGCTCGTATCCAAGAAATACACAGAAGGATCCGAAATCGAGAGGCCATTGAAGTAAGTGATCTTATCCAGTCGACACCCCACCTTCCCCCCACCCAAAACAAAGGCAGCTCTTCTCATACTTCTCGTAGCTAGAGACTGTGTTCAGGATATTCACCAGAGTCACTATTCCGTACCGAAAAGCAGTTATGAAAGAGCTGTGTTTCCACCCATGGTATATGAATGGCGATGAAGAGATATAGAAGAGGATATTGAATCATGCTCTCTGGTTCTTCGACCACCGATACTCTTTCCTGGTCTTAGAGAGTAAAAGTGGATTTAAAATACCAGCCCCAACTGGTTCTTGGATGATGCGAATGGACGGTGCAATTCAAGCAGACCAGAAAAGTCTTTGGATTGATTAATCCGATAGACAGGGTGATTTGGAAAAAAGCAGGAGGGCAAATAGTTGAGGCATAGGAGCGGCATGTACAGAATGCAAATGTGGGGATCGTACTGAAGGGAAACATTTGGAAAAAAGGAGCGGTACTGGAGTGTTTTTGTCTAGATGGTAAAGGTCACAAAAATCCGAGTAACAGCATAGCATAGAGAACAAACAAAACTTATTGTATTGCACGGATCAGTACCTTTGTATAAGGGGTGGCTTAGGCAGTTTGACGAAGGTTCGCGATCCTTCAATCATCGTATACACCTGTGACTTGTCAGCTATCTTCCTCTGGCTCTGAATATAGCTACGTACGAATTCCGAGTCTATTTGACCAGTCTCTGAATAGAGTCTTAAACGTTGCTTGTATTACGTGTTTCTGGAACGTCGTTACCCGTCCCCGGGTTTCTTTCCCCTGAGATCTTCTCGATGATCTTTGCTTTCCCCTGAGCTCGTTTCAGCCTGTCATCGAAATCTGACACTGCATCCTCGGTATTCTCCGTCGACAGACTTTCGGATTCTGCTAACGCGTGCAGCACCTTGACGTGGTTTTCCAGTCGGTGATTTGCGGGCAGTGGATCGAGGCTCCGCGGATGCGTTTGCCTACCACCAAGAGGAAAGGAGGTGGCTTGCCCTCCAAATTGGGGAGCTGAACCATCTTCTTTGAGGTTGTCTTTTTCAAGGCGAGGAATGCGATTTGCCCAAATGATTGATTTCCCATAGAGCTTCCCACTTTCCATATACTTTTCAAAACCCTTTTCCAATCCAAATGTTCGTCCTTCGATCCGACCGGCTTTCACGCCATCGACCATGCCTTGTTGGAAGCCAGCGTTGTAGAATTGTTCCTCTAGGCCCAGAACCTCATCAAAACTGTCCGAGTACATCTTCGCGCAAATGACTGGATTTGATTCTGATATTCGATCTGATTATGCTGCCGTTCTATATTGTGGTAAGGTGAGGTGGGTGATTGACAGTGATCAAGCGAAATCCGAGAGGGCCGACACGTGATATTGAAACAAGGCTAGAAAGATCTGCCGAAGATGAAGCGTAAGCGAATTGTTTACTATGTACAAATGAATTTGAACTTCGTTTCCATCCTGTCCGCTCTCTTACTGAGCTGTCACTAAATAACCCCATACAGCGCGAAATGAGGTGATCTCCCCGCCAAGTGGTATAAAGACTAACATTTAGACAGAAGATCTCATATTCGACCGAGGGTCTTCACAAATTCGCTGGTTAGTACACTACAGACGGTGACCCTATTGGAATAGCCCTGAGGGGTTGTGGGACTATCAATGCCGGGCGCGGCGATAAGCCCCTGTCATAAGAACCAGTCGTTACCACGAATAAGGTTGAATAGTACGATGAAAGTAACCCGGAGTTGTCAGATGTGATCTAGACAAAAAAACCTTTTTTTTTTTTTTTACGATCTAAAACTCCACGGATCGGCGCGATAATACGGACACGGAACAATGCTACAAAATAAGAGAGCAATATCGTCTGAACTATCAAGCGAGCTTCTCGTTCAAGTATAGCAAGATCGAGATGTATATTCTATAATCTTAATACATACAGTATGCATTCGTTCGCTTTAATTCTATTAGTACTTTCAAAAGCAATAATATATAAAGTGATTATACCTTCAATAACAATTAGGTTTCGTCACCCATTCTGGCGGTTTCCGAAAGGGGCATAGATGTTTACCTCGCTACGGAGCTCCGAGTCAGCCTTGTCAGCGAGGCTGAAAAGCTAACCGAGACCAATGAGTAAACATGTCCAAGACCCATAATAAAGTTTAAAGTTACCCCTCGACCCCTCGACCCCTCGTCCATTTCCTTTCCTTTCCCATTTTTTGACACCAACAATAATAACAACCACAAAAAAACACGCAAACACACAAACATGGCATCACAGATCATCTTACCCGAAGAGGGCAAAAACAATATCTTGATCACAAGCGCACTCCCCTACGTCAATAACATTCCGCATCTCGGAAATGTTATCGGCAGCGTACTCTCGGCGGATGTCTTCGCGCGATTCAGTAAACTGCGCGACAGACCAACACTCTTCATCTGCGGAACAGATGAATACGGAACGGCGACCGAAGCAAGAGCTCGCGAGACTGGACAAACTCCAAAGCAACTTTGCGACGAGTTCCACACGAAGCACAAGGAGATCTACGACTGGTTTGAGATTGGATTCGACTACTTTGGCAGAACCACGACCGAGCAGCAGACGATCATCGCACAAGATATCTTCCTGAAGCTGCACAAGAACGGATACTTGGAGGAGCGAACAACCAAACAACCATACTGCGAACATCACCACTCCTTTCTGGCCGACCGATTCGTCGAAGGCACGTGTCCCAAATGCCAGTACAACGATGCGCGGGGCGATCAATGCGATCTATGCGGCAGTCTCCTCGATGCGCTCGAGCTCATCAACCCTCGATGCAAGGTGGATGGCACAACTCCTGTCGCCAAGGACACCACCCATATCTTTCTGCGTCTGGATAAAGTACAAGCAGATATTGAGGGTTTCTTTGCACAGTCGAGCGTGGCTGGCGGATGGTCAGCCAACGGCATTGCGATTACAAAGTCATGGCTGGAAAAGGGACTGGAAGGTCGCAGTATCACACGAGATTTGACTTGGGGTACACCAGTTCCATTGCCTGGATACGAAGACAAGGTTCTATACGTCTGGTTCGATGCCTGCATAGGTTATCCCTCGATCACCGCCAATTACACAAAGGATTGGGAGCTCTGGTGGCGCAACCCGGATCAGGTCAAGCTCTTTCAATTCATGGGCAAAGACAACGTTCCTTTCCATACAGTCATCTTCCCGGGATCTCAGCTCGGAACTAAGGACAAGTGGACAAAGCTGCACACCATCTCCGTTACCGAGTACCTGAACTACGAGCAAGGAAAGTTCTCGAAATCGAGGGGAATTGGTGTCTTTGGTGATGGTGCCAAGGAGACTGGAATTCCGCCTTCGGTGTGGAGATATTACTTGATTGCGAACAGACCTGAGATTGGCGATACTCAATTCGAGTGGAAAGCTTTCATTGCGGGCAACAATAGTGAACTTCTTGCGAATGTTGGTAACTTCGTCAATCGATTGGTCAAATTCGTCAACGCGAAGCTTGATGGTACGGTTCCAGAATTCCTCCCAACCTACGAGGACGATTCCTTCGATTTCCCTGGCTTCATTTCTGAGGTCAATGGCCTTCTCACCGAGTACATCGCCGAAATGGAAGCTGTGCGTCTGCGAGCGGGGCTGAAGAAGTTTATGGAGATTTCCGCGAAAGGCAACCTCATCCTTGCTGGCCGTCTTGACAACGCCAACTTGACCAACAGCCCGGCACGGACCCACGCTATTGTTGGAATTGCTCTGAACCTTGCATACCTTCTTGCGTCTATCTCGTCCCCGTTCATGCCCTCAACCGCGAAATCCATCGCTGAGCAACTCAACGGCCCTCTTCTCTCGATTCCCGATAAATGGAATGCAGGTGCTCTTTCAGGCGGCCACAAGATTGGCAAGGCCGCATACCTGTTCACCAGAATTGACGAGAAGAAGGAAGAAGAGTGGCGAAACAAGTATGGTGGTACACAGGCTTCTCGACAAGCCGAAGAAGAGGCCAAAGCCAAGAAGGCAGCGGACAAGGCGAGAGATAAGGAGCGCAAGAAAGCTAGGGTACGTCGGAAAAATTCTTTCTTAGCAGAGTGCTGAGGAGTGCAAATGTATACTGGTGATGTATTTTTTGGGGTGTTTTGCTGTCTTGTCATTGGGAAGAATCAGAATTCTAATCTCCTCATAGAAAGAAGCTGCCAATGCAGCTGGATCAAGTGCAGAGGCCTCTAAGAGCCCGGACGCCGCTAAGGATACTGATGCGAAGGAAGGTACCGGTGCGAAAGACTCAGAGCCCAAGCTAGATCTGGAGTCGCAAATCAAGAAGAATCTCGAAGCCTTGAAGGGGACTCGGCTTTCGAAGGAGGGTGAGACTGAGTTGCCGCTGGGAGGCAAGACTGCTGAAGAGCAAGCACCGCCACCCTCTGCCGCTCCCTGAACGATCATTGTGCGGGAAATACGGACGGGCCGGTTGGCGTTAGCGAATGGAGAGTTGGCACAGCAGAAGATTGCAGTAAAAAGCTCAGTTCAACAACATGTTCTCGGAATCTATATCCTGGGGCCTTCTTTTTTTTTTTTGGCCTACACGCTATTTTCTCTCTCTCTTCCTTCCCATACATACACATATACCAATACCAATTTTCAATATCAATAGAGATATAGATATAGGCATAGTTTTGCGTCTACATGGCCATCCTCATGCCTCCGTTGGCACAGACTACCTGTCCTGTACACCACAAGCTATCCGGCGTGCACAGCATCCCAACGACGCCGGCAACCTCCTTGGTGTACGCCGGTCTGCCCCCGGCATTCTCGGCATCGGCTACGAGATCCGCGTCGTCGAGCTCAGGCCGGATGGCACTCCCGGGCGTCTGCTGAATGAAGGGCCGCAGCGACCTTCTGAACTCGGGCGTCGTTCCGGCCCACATGTCTGTCTTCACCGGGCCGGGATTGACGGCATTGACCGTGGCCCGCTCCGCCACTGTGCGGAGGTTTGGTCAGCATTGATTGCATTGATGAAAAGACCTTGGGCACTTGGGAACTTGGGGGGGTTTTTTCTTTCTTTCTTTCTACGTTTTCTTTTTCTTCTTCTGTCCATCTCGACTCCTCCGGGGATATCTCCCGAGAGAACGGAATCTTTCGAGTCCTTGCAGAATGGAATGGAAGCGGAAAGGGGGGAAGGAGGGAGGTTTGAAACATACGCTCTCTCGCCCACGTCCTGGTCATAGCCTCCAGCGCGGCCTTGGTGCCGCCGTAGACGGACTGCCCCACGAAGCCCTCGGAGCTCGACACGGAGCTCAGGTTCACGACGCGGCCGGAGCGGTCGTGCGGCAGGTAGGGGAGGGCGGCCTGCAGCAGGAGGAGGGGCCCGAGGACGTTGACGGCGTACTGCCGGTTGAAGTCTTGGATGGTGCAGTGCTCGAGGGTGAGGTTGTTGGCGACGCCGGCGTTGTTGATCAGGATGTCGATTTGGAAGGGAGGGTGGGTGCCTTTTTCGGGGGAGGAGAAGTGCGCTTTTGTGGTGGTTATTAGGTGCGGGGGGCCGTTGGGTTGGGACATGTCTGCTTCTGGGGGGAGGGTTAGAGGAGGGAGATAGGTGAGGTTTTGAGGGTGGAAGGGAGGGAGAGATAGCAGAGAGAGATGGAGAGGGTCAGAGAGGGGGGGAGAGAGAGAGAGAGATGAGTCCGCGAATGAACAAGAGTTGGAGGTTCCTCTTTTGATATAACCAGATACCCATAAGTAACCGTCTTCCCCTTTTACTTACGAACTATCAAACACGTAACCCCATGCTCCTCTGTCAGGCGAGAAGACAGCTCTTGGGTGATCTTGCCAGAGGAGTCGGAGGTGTAGTTCAGGACTAGATTGGCTCCCTTGGAAGCTAGATTGCAGGCAATAGCTTCCCCGATCCCTACTCACTGCCATTAAAGACTGTACTTATTACAACTTACTTGTACGCATGAGGCCGAATTGAGTTTTTTACCTACCTCTCGAAGCTCCCGTGATGATGGCGAGCTTTCCCTCCAGGATCCGAGGAGGGTTTACATTTACCCCACTATGGTTGTTGGTAGACATGATTCTCGTAGGACGGGGGCGAAAGAAATGTAGGTAAGGCTTTGAATGAGTTTGAGTTCGAGTATGAGTGAAAAGAGAAGCGAATTCGAGATGAGATCTAACTGATTGCGTATGTATGCTATATCGAGATGAGATGTGAGACTGATTGAGCTGATTGAGCTGACTGAGCTGATTGAGAGAGGACTGATGAGATAGTCATTAATTGCCGAGCTCAAGAAGGAAAGTCAACAACCCCACCATCGGAGTTCGGACGCGACCCACTTAATACTAGCCCACCAATGCCAGCCCGCCGTTGGAAAAGCGACCTGGATGCCAGCGACCGTCAAGCGTCAACACCAAGCTCGAATTCGGAGCTCGCAAGAAAAAGCTCCCAAGAACACCAACCGCAACCCGCAACTGCAACCATGGACATCCGGCTGCTGCGCTCCTCAGACATACCTCATGTACAACATGCCAACATCACCAACCTCCCCGAGAAGTTCGTATTATCCCTCTCTCTCTCCCTCTCCATCCCAATCACACATCCTCACTCAGAAGAACAACATACACACAACACAAGGCGGGAAGTAAGAAGAAAGAAGCCAATTGAGCAATGAAATAAACCTAACTTGGAAAAAAAAAACCCAGCTATTTCATGAAATACTACCTCTACCACGCCCTGTCCTGGCCCCAGCTCTCCTACGTCGCCGTCGACGTCTCGCGGCCGAAGAAGTCCCCGTACGACGCCCCGCGGATAGTCGGCTACGTGCTGGCGAAGATGGAGGAGGACCCGCCCGACGGGGTGCAGCATGGGCACATCACCAGCTTGAGCGTGATGCGCACCCATCGTCGGCTGGGGATTGCTGAGAAGCTGATGCGCCAATCGCGTAGGTGCCTCCCTCTACCCCGAAACCCACCCTCCCCAGGTACTGCTACTACTCAAGTACTACTCCTACCGAGTAGCTGGCTCTACACATTAGAAGGAGGCAGGCAGGCAGGCAGGATTGGAAACAGGCGAAGGGGCACACGGCTGTGGTGTGTGTTGCGTGTGTTGTGTCGTATTATGAGCTGACAACCCCCCTCCAGAAAAAGCCATGGTCGAGACCTTCCAGGCCCAGTACGTCTCCCTCCACGTGCGCGTCTCCAACAACGCCGCGCTCCGCCTCTACCGCGACACGCTCGGCTTCGAGAACGAGAAGGTCGAGGCCAAGTACTACGCCGACGGCGAGGACGCCTACAGCATGCGCCTCGACCTGGGCGACATCCGCGAGAAGCTCCTGGACGAGCTCGACGAGGAGCGGGACGAGGGCGAGCCCGTGGGCGAGATGGGGAAGGATGGGGGCGGGGATAGTGCGCAGGCTCTCGTTGATGGCGGGGACGGTGGGGCCAAGGGGAAGAAGAGGAAGGTTAGAGTCGGACGGGCCTTGGGGGTGGGTGCCTTGGTGGAGAGGGACGAGAGTCATAAATAAACAAGAGAGGGGGAGCTGCTATTTTTTGCGTAGCGAAAATGGTAAAAAGTCCCACGTCCGCACCACATGGCTGGCAGACAGACAGACAGGTTGGATGATGACCAGCCAGCCAGTCAGCCAGCCAGTCAGCCAGTCTTCCGTTCCGCCGAAGCATCTCCTCTTAGCCACCACACAAGCAAGCAAGCTACCAGTCTCTCCGTACGTGCCCTGCAGTACGATTCTTCCTCAACTTCACTCAACCACGATCACACACATCGCACTGCCTACCTACCTACCCTACCTCTATCGGATTACATATACTTATTTCACTTGGGCCGGCAGATCTTGCCCGGCTCAAGTGTAGCGATTCATGTACTAATCGCTGATCACACCATCTATCCAAGCCATTTTCATCGTCGCAGCGTGCACAGTTCAAAGGTTGCTCTTGGGGTTAGAAATGACATGTCCTTCGCGGGTGCAGTTTCGGTGCTCGATTCACAACAGCCAGAGGGTCCAATGTAATCACGGCTCCGGAGAGGATGCGAAATGGTGTCAGAGTACTTCTTCATAACCGTTGAATTTCCAGGGCAGTTGGCTAGCTAACCGCTAGACCGCTACCTGATTGGAGTTAAGTTGATACACAGTCGAAAACGACCCTCACTCGATCCCGACCTTCCCATGCTGCCAATCCATCGAAGCGATCCGTTTACTCGAATGGGTTGCTGAATATTCTTTAGTACCAAAGGCAGATGGAGGAGGAGAGAAGATCTTACGTGCGGGTTCCCCACCAGGTGAGGAACAGAGAAAGACCGACTGTCTCGAAGACACGGGCAAGGGCACCCACGGCAACGGTGTCAAGAGGACGCTTCTCGGTAAAGATTTGGGCGATGAACTGTGCGCACTCAAATTAGCCCTTGTCCTCCATTATCATGTGCGTGCGGGGTACAAACCGAAGGAGCAGAGCTGGCAAAGAAGATCAAAGATCCGAGGTATGCGGAGCCCTTGTAGGAAAGAGTTCCGGTGGCATTGATCAGAGCACCAACACCGTATGATTGGACGGCGCTACCGACAAGGGACGTTCCCCAGGCAGCGGCGGCAGAGGCAGCCTCCTTGGACTTGACGAACTCCTCCTTGGAGTTGGCAGCTTGGGCACGGTGGTAGGTATCGCCGAAGACAGGGCCGAGGATTGCGAGGGAGGCGGCGTGGTTGAAGATGGTGCCGAGGGCGATGGCGGATGGCTTGACAGGTGGAAGGTCTGCAGGGAAGGTTGTTAGCTGGAGAGTACGCGAAGGGAATAGATAAGAGTTGTGCAGGTAAGAGTTATAATTGTTGACGGAGCATCGGGAGAGACAAAGGACTCGAGATGAAATGAACCCTATGGAGCTGATGAAGCAGGGTTGAAGCTATTCCGAGCTCTCTCGCATCTCTCTCGCATTCTCCGTGCTCCCCCAACAAACAAGGCACGGATGTCGTCACCAGCCAAACAAACAATACCAGGAACGAGGCAGTGGTATACGCACAGTGAAGAGACATGATTGGAAGTGTATGTGGTTGATTGAAGAGGTTGATGGGAGGTTCTTGGAGGATTTGGATGGATGCCACGGTGATGGATGTGGTGGATGTGATGGATGATGAGCGTGGAGGAGGAGGGGAAGTAAGAAGAGAAGAAGGGACTTTTTCCTTTAAGAAAGGGAAGGCGCGCTAGCGGGGGTTGGGGGGAGGTGTCACGACGGACGGGGACGGGGCAGAGAGGGCAGAGCAGGATTGGTTGCTGGGCAGGGAAGAGTTCCTTTGACCGGTCACGTCATGGGCTGGCTCACTCACATCGGTCGAGTACTACCAACTCGAGTAATGAATATAATGAATGAGTGAGTGAATAAATAAATGAATCAATGAATGAACAAATCAATAAATGAATGGCAGTTCATTTTCCATCAACTCACTCACTCACTCACTCACTCACTCACTCACTCACTCACTTACTCACTCAATCTATTCGATGATCAGATGACGTCGTTGACTCTATTCGCAGATTATTTCCCTTCCCCTTCCCCTTCCCCTTCCCCTCCCCCCTTCCCTTCATCGCCGTTTTCAGCGAACGTCGTCCCTTTTTCTCGTCTTAATGCTTGATCCGGACAACAAGAAGTCAAGCACCAACGGGACCAGGCGACACGGGATCCGGCCCGCACGGGGCAGTGTATGTTTTGTGGGACCACGCCAAGGCTCTCGACTCTCTGACATCATCGCTCCACTTATGGCTGAACTCCATGACTCGGCCATCGGAGATCACGTCTGAGGGCCTCAGGTTGCTTAAGCAACTCATTCTCCAATCTCCACAACAGACAAGTTACCTCGCTTCGAAGACGAAAAAGAAAACAAAATAAAAAAAAAGGTAAGACCCGATATTCGCCTTCCGGAGCCGAGCCGAGCCGAGCCGAGCCGCATCATCGGCTCCACCGGATTTTGTTCACGTACCTCTCTCCCGAGCCTCCGTATCCCGAGATTGCCGAGGGTGCAACCCAGGGCTAACCTCCACCACAGAGGCAGACATATATACATCCAGACGATGCTTTGCTGATATATACATGGCCCAGGCAGCAAGAAACATCCAGCCAGACCCTATGGTTGGACGACGACGGAGTCTGTGCAGCGTAAATTCTTTGGTGTAAGCTTGAAACGTATTCCTCCGGGGACGTATCATTCATTCATCATTATCACCACCTACGCTGCTGACCCGACCACCTCCAGATCATTGGCTTTCGTAGCAACTGTCATCGTAGCATTCATGGTCATGATGGGAGAGACTCCCGCTCCGTCCGAGCAACACACTGTGTATAGCACAGTCACGGGATATTTCCTCCAGGATGAGGAAGGAACGGATCCGAAAGGATTTGATTTCGTGGGTTCCATGTCTCTTCTGAGATGAAGAGCCGGGTAGTGGCTGATCATGCGAATAGACGACGACCAATTTTGGACTTATGGATAGAAAATACCCCGCAGACGCAGACCTGAGTACAAACAGCAAGTTGACCCAGTGGCAACGCTTTGCGAGAGAAGTCACGAGGTTGAATGGGAAAGGTGGCTCGAAGGTCACCTACAAGCTTCTTTACCGTAGGTAAAATGGGTGCATCGCCTCTATTCTTCCATATTCCAGGCACAGGCACAGATACAGAGACTGATGGATTATTGCAGTTGGCCGCCATGGAGAGGGTTACCACAATGTAGCCGAAGCTTTCTACGGCACCGATGCGTGGAATGTTCGTCTCGCCAAATTCCTTCTTTCTTTGCCGAGTTTGGAGCAAGACTGATGTTGGAAAAACAGTGCTACTGGTCCTTGCAAGACGGTAACAGCACCAGTACCTGGTTAGTATATTCCCTCCTTGTGTTCTCGATGTCGTGGGCTTGGGATTGTATTTATCTTACAATCAGCGATCTCAGGTGATACGTGGGTCTTGAAATATGGAAAAAAGGAGCCTGGTGCTAACTTGCAGTCTCAGGGCCGACGCTCTCCTCACGCCGACAGGTGAAGGCCAAGCTTTGAAAGCCAATGCCTTCTGGCGCTCCCTCATTGCTGACCAGGTTCGTCTCCTCTTCCTCCTCCTTCGACGATGATATGATTCAAAAACTCTTCCTAAACCTCTTCACAGAAAGTCCCAACCCCACAATCCTACTACGCCTCCCCCCTCATGCGCTGCTTAGCCACCGCCAACCTCACGTTCTCCGGCCTCGACCTCCCAAAAGACCACCCCTTCATCCCTACCATCAAAGAGGGACTAAGGGAAGTGAACGGCGCGCATACCTGCGACAGACGTAGTCGCAAAAGCGTCATCGGGGCAAAGTATCCAGACTGGCCCTTCGAAGAGGGCTTCACGGAGGAAGACGTGTTGTGGAAGGCCAATCTACGCGAAACAGACGACGCCATCGACCAACGTACGCTCGCTGTTCTCGACGACGTGTTTGCAAGCGACAAGAGCACGTATATTAGTATCAGCGCGCATTCGGGAGAGATAGGGAGTATGTTGCGAGGTAAGTCTTTCTCCTACTCATCCTCCTCCTCCTCCCCCTCCCCCCCCCTCCTCCTCTTCCTCTTTCTTCGATTCTATCAATACATACAAGAAAGTAAACTGACTTGCTGAGATGCAGTCCTCGGACACCGAGAATTCAGTCTCGGAACCGGCCAAGCGATTCCGGTGCTCGTTAAAGCGGAGCAGGTTCCTGGTGCCCGGCCGCCGCAGAAAGAGGCACCGTGGGAGAAAGTCGAGACTTGCTCGACAGTTCCACCTGCGCCTGCGCCTGCGCCAACAGCAGCAGCGGCTGCTCTTACTTGAGAGAGTACATATGTATATATATGTGTGTGTATATATATGTGTGTGTGTATATATCATTCACCTCTCGACTCAAGAGGTCTGTAAAGATAGATAGTTGGTTCTGCCTGAAAAGAGTTCCTATATGCATATAGACCGACTCTCCTCTCTCGGCTGCCTCAGGAGGATTGTACTCTCGAGCCTACTTACTCAACACAGGACCTAGGTATCAATCCGTCCGTGCCGCCGAGCGCTGCGCTGATTGTGAACCGGTCGGCGGGGTCCTCGGGAGTCGGTACGTACCAATGTGAAACCTCGGAATTAAAAAAGCTCGAGAACCTCGTGCTCTTGGATATGCTATTCGATGGTATGGTACTTACGGTGATGGCTGCACCTCTAGGGGGGGGAAGGTGAGGCATGCCAAAGACAGCTCCTCTCATCGTCGGCTCGCGTAAGTGGGCCGGCCTCCTTTTATCCTTTGAGGCTACGGGGTGTGTTCAAGGCACGGGAAGTAATCGGCTTGCTCAGAGCCATGGCGGTCGGTCTACTCCGTACGGATGGATACACTGCACGCAAGCACACGTTCAAGAAGTTATGTTATGACAAGACAAGGAGGCCAAGTTAGTTGTAACCGCTGCGCCTGCCTGCCTGCAACCTTACACACATCCTTTCCTCGTCCCCTACTCTCTCTCTCTCTCTCTCTCTTCTCT